GCCACTTTCGGTTTTCTGGTGATTAATTGGAGATAAGACTCATGAACTTTCCTGCTCTGGCTGGCTTTGAACTGCGATTCTCAGATCTCAGCCTCCTTAGTAGCTAGGATTTCATGCGTGAGCAAGCCACCAGCACCCAGCCTGTAGGCTAATCTTCAATTCCAGGTTCAGGAAGATTCACTCAGCTTCTGAGTACTGGGACCACAGCTAGCAGGAGCTGAACCACATTGCATTTCTGGGTTCTTCATGACCATGTAATGCAGAGAATTTTCTAGGGCCTGGTCCTTCAGTGTCACACCACACCTTGTGTTCCAGCTGCCTGGATTATTTGCATGGCTCTTTTCCTTCAGTCCAGATGCTGCTCTGGGCCTCGGTCCTCTCCCATCTCAGGGTAGTTTCCAAGATCCTCAGATCCTGTCAGGAAGGAAGCCCTGCCCCATATCCTGAAAGCAGATCCCTTCCCAGAGGCATTGAGACAGGAAGGCAGCCCGGGGGCAGGGTCCAGGGAGGTCCTGGGCCAAGGAAGGGCGGGGTTTCAGGGGGTTCCAGAGAGGTCCATGGATTAGGGAGGAGTGGGGGGTCCAGTGAGGTCCAGAGAGGTTCAGGGTTGAGGGCAGGGTGTCGGCCAGGGAGGTCCATGGCTAAGGGAAAGTGGGGGAGGGGGGAAAGGGGTGGTCAGGGAGGTCCATGGGTTCAGGGAGAGGTGGGGGGTCCAGGGAGGTTTGGAGAGGAGTGGGCTGTACTTGGAGGAAGCAGTCTCCGTGAAAGCTACTGCGGGCTGGTTCAAGGGCAGCTGAGGGGCTGGGCTGACGCTGCACTGCACGAGCCCCTGGCAAGTAAGTCTGAGGAACATTTGCCTGAGCATCTTCATAAACAGGAGCCCTCCTCTTTGTGCTGTCCAGGCACTGTTGGCATTGCGGAGAATGGCGATGTGGCCCGTGCATCATGAAGGCCCACACGGCAGCTGACCGCTCTTCTTCCTCCTAGGACGAGCAATGGGAAGAGCACAGTGATCAACGCCATGCTCTGGGACAAAGTGCTGCCTTCTGGGATAGGTCACACCACCAACTGCTTCCTGCGGGTGGGGGGCACAGATGGTCACGATGCCTTCCTCCTCACAGAGGGCTCAGAGGAGAAGAAGAGTGTCAAGGTGGGTGCCAGGGACCTCGAGTCCAGGCTAGGATCAAACAGCATATCCACCTGGTAGGGGCAACAGCGCCTCCCTTCCTTTCCCTAGCTCCCCCTGCTCTGTGGAGGATGTGAGGGCATGAAGAGGGTCAGAGAAGTAGAGCGTGAGAACACGGGCCATGTTGCCTGTTGAGGCTAAGCAGGCCTGGTTGACTGGGCACTGCATAGGAAGGCGGATGCACACCCATCTTCCTTGGGACGCTGCCAGGAGATAGCTTCTGCATTCACTCTGGAATTCTGCTGTACCAGCCAAGACTGACACAATTGTTTTTTTAAGAGGCAGCTCATTCAGTCAGGTCCCATTTGGGGCCAGGTGCTCATTTCTTCTTCTTCTTCTTTTTTTTTTTTGGGGGGGGTCCAGTCGTGGGGCCTGAACTCTGGGCCTGGGCGCTGTCCCTCAGCTCTTCAGCTCAAGGTTAGCGCTCTACCACTTGAGCCACAGCGCCACTTCCGGCTTTTTGCTTTTTGCTTATGTGGGGCTAGAGGAATCGAACCCAGGGCCTCAGGCACGCAAGGCAAGTGCTCTACCACTGAGCCACCTTCCCAGCCCCTCTTTTTTTTTTTTGTTGGTTGTGGGACTTGAACTCTGGGTCTGAGTGCTGTCCCTGCACTCTTCAGCTCAAGGCGAGCACTCTACCACTTGAGCCACAGTGCCACTTCTGGTTTTCTGGTGGTTAATTGGAGATAAGGGTCTCACAGACTTTCCTATCCAGGCTGGCTTTGAACCTTGATCCTCAGATCTCAGCCTCCTCAGTAGCTAGGGTTAAAACATTACAGAGCCACCAACGCCCAGCTTGAAGTGGGTTCTTCTCAACAGCTCCCAGCTCTTATCTGTGTGTGGAATAAAAGATTAGCCAGTTGGGCAGTCACCACAGAGTAGCCAGCTGGAGCTGTGCTGTGTCTGGTTGGTGGCTATTCCTCAGCCTGTTCTCTCTGTCCTCCACCATCAGACTGTGAACCAGCTGGCCCATGCCCTGCACCAGGACGAGCAGCTGCACGCTGGCAGCCTTGTAAGTGTGATGTGGCCCAACTCCAAGTGCCCGCTTCTGAAAGACGATCTGGTGCTGATGGACAGGTGAGAGGGGAAGAGCCTTCCTTGGAAGGCTCCCTGGGTACCGTGTACCAGGCTTGAGACCCCTGGTCCCTGCCTTTGTTTCTGCTTGCATATTGCTACCTTTCAAATGATTCAACCAAATCCTCCTACTT